GGTACTGGTGGATGAAAAACTGAATATGAGCAGGCAATGTGCACTCACAGCCCAGAAAGCCAACCACATCCTGGGCTGCACCAAAAGAAGCATGGCCAGCAGGTCAAGGGAGGGGAATCTGCCCCTCTACTCTGCTCTGGTGAGACCCCACCTGGAGCCCTGCGTCCAGCTCTGGGGTCCTCAGCACAGGAAGGACGTGGACCTGTTGGAGTGGGTCCAGAGGAGAGCCACAAAGATGATCAGAGGGCTGGAACACCTCTGCTATGAGGACAGGCTGAGAGAGTTGGGGTTGTTCAGTCTGGAGAAGAAAAGGCTCCAGGGACACCTTATAGCAGCCTTCCAGTACGCGAAGGGGGCCTACAAGAAAGCTGGAGAGGGACTTTTTACAAGGGCATGTAGTGATAGGACAAGGGGTAATGGCTTTAAACTGCAAAAGGGTAGATTTAGGTTAAATATAAGGAAGAAGTTCTTCAATATGAGGGTGGTGAGGCACTAGAACAGGTTGCCCAGAGAAGCTGTAGATGCCCCATCCCTGGCAGTGTTCAAGGCCAGGCTGGATGGGGCTTTGAGCAACCTGGTCTAGTGGAAGGTGTCCCTGCCCATGGTGGGGGGGTGGAACCAGATGATCTCGAAGGTTCCAACCCAAACCATTCTATGATTCTATGATTTTAGCATGCCACTCTGACAAAGGAGATTCCCCAGATGGGCTCCTGGCAGCATTTTACCCTCTACCATCTTATTACTTATTGTTTCCCACAGCCCAGTTTTACCCTCTTTCCACACACGACAGTAAGCTCCTTCACCCCGTAGGTTTGAACCACTCTAACACGTACTCCTTTATGATAAGGGCAAAGCTTTGTTTTCATTGACACTTGAATCTCAACTCATCTCAACGATGCTTTCAGTTGTTAAATTGAGCTGGAAGAAATATGGAGATAAGTCTGGTTGAAACACAGCATTTTTTATAACATTCACCATGTATTTTATATTGCTACAGAAATTGAGACAGACAAGTGATGATAACACTGAAATATGCTTCAGCTTTCTCTAAGGGCTCTAATACCTCAGCAACATTAACTTATGCTGTGATAGATAATGAGGTTCAGATTCATAGGTGTCTGCTTCTCACCCGCTATACGGAGGAGTGACCTATGCATGAAGCAGCCCACTATAGGCTACATTTTAAAACCTAATGTTACAGCAAACTAACTGCTGATAGCCAACTTGAAAACACTGGATTGCCAATTCCAGTAATTCAAGAGGTGCTTCCCAAACAGGCAAACAGCAGGAAGAGTGAAGAGCCAGTATAATATGCTACCAGTCAACGCAGCGTCAATCACTCCTACCAGTGAGCCAGAAACAGTCATGTTTCACAAATATTGTAAATTCCCCATTTTACTATTTTGTGGCACAGTGCAAGGTGTAAGACAGCCAGGCAAAGTCTATGGTTTGCTTCAGGTCAGTGCCCTGACAGGGGCAAATTCCTTCCTAGTGTCCTTTAGCAGATCAAATTACTCATTGCTGAGACACAATCTGCAGTTCAAGGAATAATTTTGATAAAACCATGCTGGGAACTGACCCATGCTATTCTCAGACCTCGCTACTATATGCGGAGAAATAACTCTCAGTGTACTGAAACAGCAAGCAAGTACTATGATCCCAAAAACACTTTCACAATGTAGAGTACTTAAACACAGGTTCAGTGTTTCCCTATCAAGTCCTAACAAAATCTCTGGGTTACAAACAAATGAGTTTTTTTTACTCTTTACTCTTAAACAAAACCAATGTAGTTCCGTAATATGCAACATTAAACCTAATTCCATTTAAATGGCTGAGAAATTGTTTTAAACCAGTTTATCAACTCAAGTAACAAGATATTAATCAATGTGAAAATAGCAATGATCAAGGCAAATTAATTTAGAGAATGATTGCAAATGCATGAGTGATTAATTAAAAAGTACACAAAATGCCATTACTTCTTATGAAATTCAATACCGTGTGATGTTGGGAGCAGCACAGAAAAGGCCACCTTATTATAATCCTAATATAAAAATCCTTCAGATTATTATTTGTGTTGCAGGGGAAAAAACCCTCAGATGAACCAGCATTGCATATTACTCAAAAGATTCACAGATGCAAACACATTTTCCTTAAGAAAAAAAAGTACTTTCCCTCTATTACCATCAATCAAGTTCAGCAAACCAAAAGTACGACATCCTACCTACCCTTTTTTCATTTATGAAAAACTTACATAGCTTTTCATCATGCATCTCTGCACACTTAAGTTATTGTTAATTTTAACGGAAACCACTAGAGGAAGAAGTGGTTTATTCTGTTGCACAGGTACTAACCACACAATAAATGCAAAATACTGTATTAATAAACAGGTTCTTATAATATTCTACCATTGACATGCAATCACCAAAGCAAAACAAGGGATGTCATTTTTATAATAGGCTGCCATAACTGGAAAAAAGTACTGTGGTCACAAGTTCCCTTTCAAAACCATTACTTGAAAAGCCAGAAAGAGCACATTTCTTAAAAAAAAAAGTCTCAGAATCGTGTGATTGCTGTTGCAGATGTCACAGAGGTATTGCACAATGTCGGTACTATCCTACTTTCACATGCACACCCTTCCATTACAACCATTTTGACCCCAGGCCTGGCTGTTGGTTCTCCATCTTCCTCAAACTCCACCGTACCATAGGGTAAAACCAATTTTTCCTCTTACCATGCAATATTTGATTAGCAAATACCTACATTCTGAATCCTTACTAAAATACTGCTCCTTCTCTTGTTTGGCATTTACACAACAAATTCTTAAAAGGAAAAACAAAAAAACCACTGCTTTTACACAAAGTATTGCAAAATAATGTAAGTCCTAATTAGCAAAACCATTTTTGACATTTGACGATGATCTGACCTATTCTGCAGAACTCTGAAAATTAGAAATTACAAAAATAGCTACATGAAAAAAATAAAACCATCTCCATCTTTTCTTTAAGCTCCAGCAACAGATTGTTTTAGCAACAGCAATCTGTTTGACAAATGAAAAGAAGAAATTACCAGGCATCAGAAGGTATAAAGAGTCACAAGGTGGTGAGTCACTGTATAACAAGCCAAGCGAACTGACCAAGGAACTATCAAGAGTCTGAATTTCTTGCATTCCTACAGGTGAAACTTTCAGAGAAGCTACTTTTTAAACAGAACAGCTCCTCAGGTCTGCCTATACTACAAGAAACAAAATCAGAAAGCCCATGCACCTGCAGAGAAAAACAGGGAATAAATTGTCATCTCCAGAGATAAAACAACAAACAAGGACATTATCTTGCACCATTATATTGTTCTTCCATCCTTATTATCAGAAAAACCTTTCCTAATGAAACAGTCTGGAAAAAATTTGCCTAGAAAGTTTGTGGAATGTCCATTACTGGAGGTTTGTAAGAACAAGTCAGATAAATATTTGTGAGAAGGGATTTAGGTACAGCTGATCCATCACACAGAAGACTAAAGTCAATGACCTTTCAAGGTAACTCTCGCCCCTATTTTTTTCCCCTCCAAGTCACTGAATTTTGACTGTTTACTAAACTCACAGTTTCCAGTTTGGTAAATCCTTAAACTCCACATTTTTCTCTAGTGACCGTACAGTGGGAAACTGAAGATATTCAAAGTAGACAGAAGTATTAAAATTGTTTCTGACATAACAATATATTGACTGTCAACTCTTTCTCTGTTAGCACTCTTCAAAAAACTGCACTTTTTACATTTAGTTTTCTTGCAAGCAAGCACATAATACCCAACTTCTCTTTTCAACAGATTCAGCTAACTTATTACCGGACTCATCTTAACTTGATTAGTGATGAAATTTTTCCACATAATGATGTTTGGTACATTTTACTATTACTCACAGTAAGAAATTCTAGCAAGGAGTGAATCAAAATACATCCTTTATACTTAACTGCCATTTTTCACTTGGTGGAGATGTAAATGAATGTTTATTACTACAGTCTTCCCACTTAGAATCGTCCTGAGTTGACAGCATTTACTTTTCATACAAAATCCTCCTACCACCTAAGCGTGGTGTATTCTGGACTTGAGCCTACTTCTGTTTAAAGTGTTTTTCTTGAGTGTGACTGGGAGAAGTATCAAAGCATTCATGCAAGTATGAAGTGTACCACAAAAGTAGTTTATCTCTAAAAGTTATTGAAAAACTTGGTGTAGAATGGCATACAGCATGACAGGGAAAGTTATACTTACTCGATTGTTTTTCAATTTCTGAATTGTTTTTCTTAATAAATCAAACCACAAAACCATCCAAGCTAGAGAGCTAGACTTCACTGAATTGGTCTTTGCAGTCTCTGGTTCTTCTCCCTTCAAGTCTTGTGCAAAGTACAGCCATACTTTCAGCAAATACTACCAGGAATCTCTTTTTAGGTGAACTATATTATACAACAGGAACTTCAAGACAGATTAATACTTTTGAAATAATTTACAAATAAAACCCCTCTTTTGCTTAGTTCCTCAGTGGTTCCTCTCATCTTCAAGATTTTGTACATGAAGCAAATAATATTCACCCCAAAATCAGCAAAGCTAAAAGCTGTCTTCACGTAGTTCATTTACTAATGAAAAGCTATCAGATTCATGAAGTACGAAAGCTGAGCATCTACAAAAGACATGGCTACTTTATACTGCCTGCAATTTTGAAATATTTCTCATGTTCTAGTAAGCTCTGTCTCCTTATTTTATATAAAGGAAACTGCTTTCAATGCGTGTTCTTAAGGGAAAGCATCAACGCACACTTAAACAAGACATAGTTGATTTAATTTATGCATAGTGTTTTCAAAAATATACCCTTTAAGCTAAGGAAGGGCATACATCTACCAAAGGTTCATTTTAAAGGGATTTGACAATAAAAACTAATTAATACATTAAATAATAATGTAATACATTTAACGCACAGAAAAATGTCAGTGAAATCAGGAAGGTGCCATTTTGCTTACCTGACAAGAGCGAAACTGGTTGACTAGCAGCGTACATCTCTGTGGGTCTTTTCTTCCATCCAAACTGTCCAGTTCAGCTGCTACCTGATTTAGTTCCTCATCAGCGTAGTAGAACTGAGCAAGGAGCTGTGGGTCTGTTCTCTGCAAAGACAGAGACATATAAAATACTACATTATTTTTGTGAATAAAAAAAAACACTTCAGCTAGTTATATTTATTGTGTTTGTTGTTTTTTTGGTGTTTCGGTTTTGCTTTGGTTTTTTTTACACTTACGCCAGATGAGTAGTGTGGCAGCACAGAAAAGAACGATCTTGAGACATTTAAGCACAATCACAAATTTTGAAGAAAATAAATCCGTCACATAACAAACTTGGGGCATTACTCAGCTACCATTATCTCCAAAACCATCCCAGCATTCTCATTACTTGTGGCATAATTATTCGGTGAAGCAAACAACTGAACCACAAGTTTTGTTTATTAAACAAAAGTACACTTCAGTCCTAGGCAAAACAGGACAAAGTTGCTTTCCAAGTTAAAACAAACAAACAAAACCCCCCAAATCCATCAAGCAATGTGATCACCTACCAAGCAGTGTGGTAACCCCTGCAACACGATGCGGTAACGCCTGCAACATGAGGCACGGTGTTACCTGGTCAGAATCCTCACTTTGAGGATCACAAGAATCAAGTCACAGAAGGGGAAAGTACTGAATCTACTAGATACATTACCAGGGGCAAATAGATCTAAAGACTTCACAAAGCAAATAACATGACTAAACGAGGCATTACACAGAGAGAAAACTACACCACAAAAGTCTTCCAAGGGGGAAAGAACAGAATTATCAATATGGATTTTTGGCCACATTAAAACAGAACAGCAATTATAATAGAAAGAACAGAAGAATAAAGGAATTCATCATCAAAAATACTGAGAAATATTAATAATAAAAGTTTACCCCATAAAAGGTTGGTTGTTTTTTTTTGTTTTCTTAATATTAACAACTGGAAATTCTGATCATTAAAAAAGCTGAAATCTTTTATTAAAATACTGGAAAAGTAACAAAGATCAGTGTGTGTGGAGGGAGGAGATAAGAATTTTGACTGTTAAAAGAGAGTGGAGATACAAGTAGGAGGAAGGAGGGAGTAGCTTTTTGTATGTGCCAGCAACTTGGTGAAACATTCATGGGCTCAGATAAGCACCACCTCATATTATTCTAAAGTAGTCATCAGTAAAATATACACGAGATTTGCAAGAGATGAGTATAAAATGAAAATAGTTGTTTTTAATCACAAGTGTAAGAAATATTAAGACTACTAACTGTAGACTGGGAATTAGAATTAGTCACCACTAGATGAAAGAAAGAGCACCTGATACTACAGAAAACAAATAGCTACAAAGTATCTGAAATTGATTCTTAATGCACCTAAGAATGAAGCAACACAAAAATACTTCTAGAAGGCCCAGGTTAGGTATAGAACCAGTAAAAATAAAGATGAAGTTGCATGGAAGCAATTCACAAACAAGTCTCAAAGTCTCAAACACTGGAAAAAAAAAAGAATTAACATAGGGAAGAACTTCCAGGTAAAGAAAAACATTGGGTAAAAGAAAACATTGTTTTTGTAAACGAACAAAAAATTGCAAAAGCATAGAAATTACCAAGAAGCAACACATTTTAAATGAAAATTACAACTAATGAAGATGTACGAGATAAGTACATCAGAGCAAAACATGTACCAACAGAAACAAGTGTAATACAGCGAAGAAATTAGTCAACAGCAAACCAGAAGATAACATCACTTTAAAAGACATCACCAAATGCAACAAATGGCAAAGGACAAAAACACTGAGGTTATGTACAACAAGGTCTACGTTGTGAACCGTAACATTTTCTATCTGAAACACAAACCATATCTAGTACTGTGAAAGGAGAAAATACCAAAGTTCTTAAGGGATAGGCATATGGTGCAGTGGGATCAGAAATGCTGCCATTCGCAAACCACAGGTTTAAAGCACTAGTAGACATGATAAAGGTATACTAGAGAGCTGAATCTCGTGCTTCACGTACACCCAGTCCTGCAGCACCGGACTTTTCTTTGCCAGAAGACACAAAAAGATTAGTAGCAAACCTCTGCCAACAGCAACACAGGTTCAAAAGTGGTCAGAGCACAACAAATGCCCATCAGGAATACTTGGAGGAAAAAAAAAAAGCAGTTATTTTTGTTTCATACTTAAAAAAAATTTAAACAGAAGGTATCACAACATATTGTTAAACTCCCTATTTTAGTCTCCACAAGATACATAATCCTGCAGAAAAACCTTTTCAGGACTTCATAGCACAACAGCAGTAAAACCTGCACAGCTGTTTAGTCCCTGAAAAGGACCAACAAGAGTACTAACACCTTTGGAAGAGAACAGTATACATCCTCCACACTTGGCAGGATCAAGGAGTTAACTACCGCAAGTACTTTATTGCTGCAAGACCTAAGGAAAAAGATTTAGTCTTATAAGTGATGCTAAACACTGCCTCAGTGTTACATGCTGGATTGGTTCTCAGTCAGCAATCTAACAAGCCAACAATTCTCCCTGAAAACAAAGGCACTGCCTCCTGTTCCTACATGCCGTATTTGTGCACAAATATCGTCCATCTCAGGCTACCCTTACCATTGCTGTGGGCCATCACACCGCCCAGCCGCTTCCTACATCACTACTTCACCCCAACTCTGAGGCAAATCAGAAATGAAACATCTTTTCAGGCAGTTGAAATGCAGTAATGAAAGCGCTAGGGTTTTTTTTTTTTTCTTCTTCTTCAAGCAGCCACTTTCTACAAAATAGAGAGCCTTTCCAATCATAAGCTGCTTCTTAATACTTTCAATGTTGTCTTTTATTAAGCAGGTTTAGTACCCTAAGTGTAAGCTGTCAAAAATTTACAGTCTTAAATAATGTCTCCACTATAGCCTTGATATAAAGGTGCCCAGGGAGAAAGATAAAGCTTGCGATATATGGTCCGGGAAACAAACAAAATTCAAAATGAATGATAATAAGCGGGAGAGCGTATAATTGAACTACTAAATTTAATTTTGTTTAGGTCTAAATTTCTGTGCTTATAAAGTGAGGCTTAGTAAAGCATTTCTTTCAGCATTTCCCCTACCCAATTATTTTTATTTTTGATTTTTACATTTTCCTTCAGCATTTATCTACATCCATTAAAACTTTCTAGACAAAGTTGTTAACCAAAGATGTAGGATTTCACGTGTGGAATTGTGGCAAAGCATGACTACTGACTTATAAGCATCTAAATTGGACTGCAGTAGCAAAACAAGGCAATTTAATAATACTGGTCTCAAGCAAAACAAGCAAGGCCAAGATACTTAGCTCCCACATGGCTGATCTTTTAAATTGGAGGAACAAAAGTTTTAATTGAGTTCTCTCTACTGTGTTATGTTTGGTCTGGATTAGTAGCATGATCTTTGATTAATTGTGTCAATCACACATGGTCCCTGGCAAGCCAAAGCTGCATGAAACTCAATCTCTTAGCAGGGGGCCATTTAAAGCAAATAACCACAACTTCCTGAATTCAAGTTGTTCCAATTGGTAGCAGAAAATAAGAGATAGTGCCATGCTCAATGCCAATTTTTACTTTCAGTTTATGCAAAATATGGTTCAAATAATTCTATCCAAATTACTTATTATTCTTTGGCAGAATAAGAATTAGTAATTCCCATCCTCAGCTGCTCAAATTAATAGAATGACTTCAATTGAAAGCACCTAACAGAAAACCTACCACTTATCCTGGTAGTTTGTTTCAGGAATTAATCACATTTACCATCAAATTAATGAACCTAATCTCTTGTTTTGATTTGCTGGACTTCAACTTCTAGATATGGTCATTTTGCCTTTTTCCATTAAAGTATTGAGTACTTATGTTACTTCTATTTGCCTATTTCTGTATCCACAGACTGCAGTAGCCCTTTCAACCATACCACCACTGTAGGTTGCACATATGGTTTGGGGATTGGGGGGG